GAAATTCAACTAAATGTACCTTTTTTCCCCCCCTTTTTTTTCTTTATAAGATTCAGCAAAGAAACATTAAACAGTTGATTAGTGTTTAGATGGCAACACATTTAAGGTTTGTTAAGTTTTTCATTCTACAGCTGAGATCATGGTCAGAGGTTAGACACACTCTCATTGTCCTAGTTTCTTACCCTTGGCATGCATTTATGGTCCAGATGTTTGGGCGTCTGAGGTTTAAGTAAGCACAGGAAAATTTGAGTTTACTTTGGGTTCATTGCCTCTTTGCAAATGTATTCATTTGTGTCCGTTTTGTTAGTTTTAAATTACCGTAATGTGAGTATAGCATACAATTTAAATGGGTTTTTCTTCATTTAACACTAGGCCAGGTAGACCACTGGTGAGACGTGGGGAGGCTATCTAGTATGATATGATGTGAAAAGTCATGTTATGCAGCTGGACAAATTGAAGAGATCTTTGTTCCTTTCCTTTCCAGTTTCCAAGCACCAGTGCTTTTCGCCAAAGCAGCGACACTGACATAGCCAGTCTCCCATCTGTCCCTTAGTCCCCTTTGCCAGTTGCACCTCCCTCTCCAACGCTTTTTAAGCGTGGTCCGGCTTGCCACCTGCATCTCTAAACCGCAGCTGTACTCAAGCTCTCAGTAGTAACAGTAATGCAGCCATCTGACAGAAGCCTCCCATCATGTTCTTAAGCCCGAATAATGCATACTTATCTGCTTCTGTCCTTTGTAGGAAGTCACGTATAGACCTTCAAAGGCTCTGCGTGGCTAAATAACCTGCAGCTGAGTCCTGTCAGTCATGTTTTATTGGCATTAAATACAGCCACCAGCAAGAATGAATATCTGCCTAATAAATACTGGCTGATACCCGAGTTTCCACGCCTAACAGGCTGTTTTGTTAGAGCATATGTTTATGTCCATGGTTAAACACTTTTTTAAAATGAGGCTGGTGCAGATCTGAGTTTTGTTTTTAAATATAAAATAAAGAGCCCGGTTTTCAGAAAACTGAGGTTCCCTTCTCAGTGAAGGACACACGTGGTCTTTCTGTTAGTTCAATGTCCAAAGCGTGTCGAGAGGAGGCCCCCAGGTGCACAAGTCCACCCACACACTCAACGTAATCTCATTTAAACCTCCTTTACTTGACAACACAGTAGGAAGTTTTAAATTTCCTCTGCAGCCTACTCACTGTTTCACACCGAAATGCCAAAGCTTAGCATTTTACACAGTGTTTTTGCTCACCATAAATAGGATTCTGCTTTTTCTAACGATTTAGCAACCCTCCAGTTTTGATTTGTGGCTTGCATCCTAGGAGCCAGATGAACAGGAAGCACCTGATGATCAAGACGCCTCCCCACCTGAGGACACCTCTCTGTACCCGCATTCTCCTGGAACCACTCAGTTTCAGCAGGTAGCGTCTCAGTCATGGCCCCTCAGAGGTGTCCGAGGCCTTTCCTAACGGCTGTTTGTTTCTCATTTATTAATGCAGACCATTAACATGGAAGTGGCCCCAATTTCCCTTCCACGATATCACATTAAAACGCCATTAGAAGTGCCAAGTTACCATGGCGATACATTAAATTTCCTGCGTGATTTCGCACCTGACTGCTCACACAATCAAAGGCTGGGGTTTCTTGTCAGTGTGGGATGATAAAACTCGCCCCAGGCAGCCTCGTACCGCTCTTAATGTGACGCCATTCAGCTGTAGTGGAAACATGTGTCGGGCCCCTTTTTGTTTTCAGCTCACACCCTCTGCCATCATTTAACTCTGGAGATCTTTCACGCTCTCAGATATCAGGCCGTCTTTCAATCTATTTGAATAGATATTTTTGAGAGGACGTTTTCTGATTGATTCATTTGCTTTTGTCCCCCCCTCCCTCTCTTCAAACAGAACAACCACCCCCATGGGCAGCCGTACACCGGGCCCGCTGCCCAGCACATGAACAACCCCCAGCGCCCCGGTCCCGCCTCCGCTCCGACCCCCGGCCCCGCCCAGACCCCCGCCCCCGCTCCAGGCCCCGCCCCAGGCCCGGGCACAGGCCCCGCCCCCAGCCCAGGCACAGGCACAGGCCCAGGCTCCGCTCCTGGCCCCGGCCCGCGAGCACAAGAGAACTGGGAGGGAACCGAAGAGGTCGCGCCCGCCCCCGCCTCCACCCCGGCGCCCGCCCCGCCCAAGGAGTAACCCCCCCCCCCATAAAAAAAACCCTTCTGCTGTGCCTCGAGCCTCCATCGTCCCGCTCTCCTTCCTCTCACCCTTTGGTCGACAGAGCTCCGCGTCGGGCCCTCGTTCTCTCTGCCTCTGTGAGCCAGGCCTTCCACCTCTTCCATCTCCGTGCTCCCCTCCGGCCTGGAGCTGCCCGACCACGCGACGGGGGGGGGGGGGGGCGGGGCCTGCCGGCGGCCGCAGAGCTGACAGAGTAGACAGGAGTTCCGATAAAGAGAAACGAAACCCACCCAGAGCCGACGATGCTGACGCGCTTGTCTACACGACGAAAAGGTGTACATAGTATGTTAATGTTTTTGACTGTTCGGATCCCCCAGTAGCATAACTCCGCGTGGTTTGCTGTTGGGAGGCGTTGCAGATATTATGAAAAACAAAATGGATATTATAAATAAGAAAAAGTTCCCAAAAAAAAACACAAAAAAAAAACTGTAAGAAGACAACAACTCCTCCTTGTTTTATCACCCATGCTCAGCGGTAAAGTTTGTTCTACCATCGGACGGTATCTGGTCATTCAACTGTAGAAGGACGCATTGTTATTATCATATTATTATTCTTGAGCTCCTTGGCAACCTTCTGACCCATGCCAAATCGACTCACGAGCTGTGGTTGGTTTTTAGAGTGAGAAGTGGAATGGTTGGGTGGACTTTAACGATTTTTGGTTGATGTGAAAAAGCAGTGATGCAACATTGTTCTGAAACTCATTGCCTTTCTTCTTTTTTTTTTTCTTTTCTTCTTTCTTTTGTTTTTAGTTTGTTTGTTCTGGTAATTAATTCAATCCTTTTCGAAGCTCTAGTTAATATGCTGTAACATTTAGCATGGCTTCTCACCAGAATAGTGTAGCCCAAGGGAAGACTTGTGATCATAACAACCTAAAGCTGTTCTTAATCCACATCTCCAGAAGGGCAGTGTTACCCTTAGGTTTTTCTCTTTTTGTTTTCTTTTTGTTTTGTTTTGTTTTCTACTCATCTACCCTGTAAAAATGAGGGCGATACTTTGAACCAATGTATAAGTGGCTTTTTCGATTGCACATTATAATCCTCCAACTTCACATTTGGCAGTCAGTTTTTGGTGGGTTAGATGGCTTACCTTTTTTCATTTATAGGAATTGAGAAAAACGAACACATATGCAACAGGATTGCTGCACTGGGCTATCTGGTGTATTATAGACTACATGGTTTGCTTCTGTCTCTTCAATAGAGCCTAGTCGTAGACAGACTCGTGGCCCCTCGGCGTCCTCCCTGACGTGGAGCCAGTCGGGCTGGCGTCTGGCTGCAGCTCGGGACGATCCCGAGCAGCAGCGAGACCACCGCCCCCACCCGGCCCACCAGGAGGTCCCACAGCGGGGGGGTTTTACCCTAAGAATAGCAGCTGGTTAGTCATATTGCAACTTGAGCTAACTTGTAATTCTGTAGGAGTAAAAAGGTAAAAACATCAGTAAATACTGTATTTAATTGGTAACTTGAATGCTTGTATTTTTTTGAATTTCTTTTCTTTCATTTTGTCTAAAACATACCAAATACTCCTGCAAATGAAAATATTCTGCCCACCGTATTATATTTAAATATTTTGCTCTTATTTTATAGAATTTATTTTGTTGTATTTCACAAAAAAAAAAATAGAATTTGATTTAAGAGGAACATTTTTGTCCTTGTGTTATTTTTAAAGAGGATATTGACTGTACAGAGTTCTGCGCCCTGTTTTTTGCCGACTTTTGTTTTGGCCATGGTGTGACGTTCGAATTCTGGAGCTACAGTCGCGATGTGGACTTTCACTTTGTGAGGTTTTTTGTGCACAGAAATATAACAAAAAAAGCATTGCGCCCTTAGCAAATAAAGAACATGGAATCTTGTCTGTGTGTCATATTGATTGAGGACTTTCTCATCCAGAATCTTTTTTTTTTTTGTTCAGGCTCTTAATTTCTGTCTTCCAAGAGGTGGCTGATGGAATTATTTTTTACTTTTTGACAGCTCTATAAGCTAAACGACACCTCAATGCTGCCTCATTTTTGTGCAGTGAGCATGCTGGCAGTGTTTTTAAAACCTGTTTGGAAAGAATCTGCTTTACCAAGCCAACATATTTTAATTAACATATTTCATTTAGACACTTTAACACAGGCTCCCCCTGGTGTTCAGAAGTGGTTACTGTCACAACCCTGTCCATACTTAAAACCTTTTGAATATGTTATGGTGAATACCCAGATTCATGTGTAAAAAGGTAGAAAAATGGTCCCAATAACTTACTTTCCCAACATTAGGATGAGATTTCAAGGTCAATTCGAATTGGATTGTTTTTGTTTCTTCACAATTATCCAACCGAAACTTCGGTTTCCACAACTGAAAACCACTGACCATTTTAAAAGGTATGGCTTGTATATGAACCCCTGCACAACATGGCCATCGGCAGGAGCTGAAATACTTCTGTTTCATACTACAGGCACCGCAATGAGCCACAATCGCTGATGGGGTCATTTCATGTGTGCTAAAGTTGAACATCCAGTGCTCATAATGGCTTAATGTTTGTTTTTTTCTTTTTAAAGGAACTGCATTTGATTTTCTTGTAATTGCTTCATATACCACTAAAGGATTCTAAATTAAAATTTCCCAGTAAACCCATCTTCCTGACTTTTGAGCAGTAGGGATCTTTTCAGACAGAACTATAAAAATATTCATAATCACCTTATCCTTAACATGAAGTCTATCCGTAGTTCATCTCTTTGACAACTATCAGAACACTGGGTCATTTCCATGTACGCGAGTCAAATGAAGCCAGCAAACGGACTGTTTTGGAACATGTTTTATTAATAAGACAGTCAATTCTAGTTCTCCTTCTCCTGGACGGTCTTTGTTCCGCGCAGTCTGCCTGTACGACGGGCAGCGATAAGACCGACCTTGCGACCAGCAGGTGCATCCCTCCTGATTGTGGAGGGTTTGCCGATGTGCTGATGGTTACCACCACCGAAGGGATGCTCAACAGGCTGTGGGGAGAAGCAAAGGAAACGCACATTCATACACCGTTCTACTTCCAACGTGCTTGCTGTGGCTTAATGACGCACTATGTGGGAGACCTTGTGTCCCGTTTGTTATACTTTAAATAAGCTGCCTTTCTCTGAGATTTCTAATTCTATAATACTAAATAAGCCAAAGTAAAACAAACGAAAAACCGTCTTCTTTCAGACTGTTTTGGACACTTACGTTCATAGCCACACCACGGACACGTGGCCAGCAGTTCCTCTTGGCCTTGTACTTGTGGTAGGCACGTCCAGCCTTCAGGATGGGCTTGTCAATACGGCCACCACCAGCGACCACGCCTTCAACAGGGAGCAGAACCGCTCACATCGTTAGACGCCAAACCAGCCACTTTCACCAGCACGCACTGACCGCACGGGTTTCTCACCGACGACGGCTCTGTTGGCCGAGGCGATGACCTTCTTGGAGCCCGAGGGCAGCTTGACTCTGGACTTCTTGGTCTCGGGGTTGTGGGAGATGACGGTGGCGTAGTTTCCAGAGGCGCGGGCCAGCTTGCCCCTGTCGCCGGGCTTCTCCTCCAGGCAGCAGATGATGGTTCCCTCGGGCATGGTGCCCACGGGCAGGACGTTGCCGATGTTCAGCTGAGCTGTGGGACGCAGAGTGAGGCAAGTTAGGAGAGCCGCTTTCAGCTGGGTGCCTGGAGCCTAAGTCCACCACGCCACAGACGGCCGTGGCTCCCTAAACTTCATATCAACACGACAGCTCACTTTTGGTCTGAAATTCGCAACTTCAATACTTAAAACAATATCAACCAGAAATAAACCTTAAATTTTTTTTCCTTCAAGGTAAAATCTGTGCTTCACACCCCCTGAAGGGCCAGATGTTTTATTGCCTTAAACCATCTCAGATCAATGCATCAGCAGTCCTGTGCATGACTTGGATCTTTTGAAGAGACCCACTCAACTTGATCAGGTTGGCTGCAGCAGGGAAACATCTCAAAGCTGCAGGGATGGTGGCCCTTGGGAACTGGAGGTTTCCACCCCTGGCTCAGGTGGTTCAGACTAGAATGCCTCATTATTCTTCTTTCTTATTGGCTTTTGCAATTTAAAGGACGCCCCTGGAGGAGACCTGGAAATTGTCAGAGGCTTTATATATCCCGCCCGGCCTGGAAACACCTCAAGGGGGTTGTGTGTCACTGAGAAAAAAAGATGTCTGGGTCCCCTCCACCCATCTAATGATCCAACCTCAAACAAGGGCATCATTCAGTTACAGTCAATCTAACCTGACACCTGGCCATCCTACTTCTAAGACAAAAGCTGAGTCATGCAGACAACTGTTTCACACAAGTGTGTATTTGAGCGGCAGCTGCTCTCCCATAGCGGGTGCTGCTTGGATCCTCAGAAGCAGACAAAACCCGACAACTTTTGTGGATGCAGAGAACAAAAGCTGGTCCAGACAGACAGAAGCAAAACACCCCATGAACCTTTCAATAAAAAATCTCTTAAATTTAGATCAGAGAGGCAACAACCCGTAGCCTGTTCACCATGTACCATGGTCCACGTTCACTACATGGATCGGCAACGTGTGCACAATGACCAATTGAGTGATAAAGAGTGAAAACTTGCCTGTTTTTCACAAAAGAGTAGCAAATAGAAGCTCACCCTTCTTGCCACAGTAGATGAACTGTCCAGTGTGGATGCCCTCAGCAGCGATGAAGAGCTCTGTCCTCTTCTTGAACCGGTATGGGTCACGGAAGACCACTTTGGCCAGGGGAGCGCCACGGCCGGGGTCGTGGATGATGTCCTGCGAGGGTGAAAAACGACAAGTCAACACTGGAGACAGCCTAATGACCGGCACGCCGCGCTTCCTGTCCGCTGGACTGGTCGCTCACCTTCACAATTCCCTTGATGTAGCCATGGCGTTCAGCAAAGTCAATGTGACGGAGTTTAGCAGCACCTTTCCTGTGCTTGATGTGGGCTTTGAACACGGAGCCCGCACCTTTTCTCTGTCCCCTGATCACACGTCCCATCGTGTACTGAAACAAATACAAATAACATCACATTTAGATCAATGTCAGAGTACCATTTGGCCCCAGTTCCAGTTTTCCAGCAGTTCTAAAGCTTCAGATTTCTCTAAATTTAGTTTTCAGCTGGTAGTGTCACACATCTGGACTGATATATTCAATTGGCTAAAGTATTAAGAATTGGTTTACTAACTTGAAGCGCCGAGGGCCATAAAACAAACTCTACGGGGGCCCCTTCCTCTATGTAACAAAACTTTTAAAAGTCTGTTTAAGTTTGAGGCTGTGCATGGAGCCTGTGGGACATGAATTAATGTTGCTATAGTTAGCCTAGCAGCTAACAAGTAGAACTCCGGCCAGTATGGTCAAGTCAAATTTAACGACGGTTCAGTGTTCCAGAGAGCTTTGAAAAGTCACGTTTCACACTCCCATACAGCTTCATTTATGTCACAGTTCATTCTACGGGTTGTACCCAGCAGAAGCAACAGCCGGCCTTTTAGCCGTCATCACACTAGCCGATGCAGCGCCATGTCACCGAGCACTACGCACAACCCCGACAAAAGCTTAAAACACCAATATGCCGTTAAAATACTAAGTAAGGTTGATCTTGTTATGTCTCTGGCGTGTTTACATGCGTTTTTTAAAGGTGGATGAGCAAGGAAATTCAAGATTAAGTCACGATTTAGAGCCGAGGATCAGAATATTGCAACCCTACCTAAACTCCGTTGACGGAAAGAGGAAGTGCAAAGGACCTGCAGAGGTTTTCTTCCGGTGAAGGGACCGAGGGCGCTGATGGGAAATGGATGCAAAAACTATTTCTGCTGCTGACGTCACTCAGCCAGCAAGTTGGATCTGATGTCACGAGAAGGTTTTTTACTACCATAAAGATGAAGAGAAGATTGTAGTAACGTAATCGTGTAGATGTTAGTTTTAAACAGATTATGAGACCATATTTTAATACGATTTATCTTAAAATATCAAATTGATACTACTTTTAATCTTTCTAAGGGCTTAGCCAGAAAAACATTCTAATTATTATGTAATACTATCACATTTAAGGTGGATTTGAGACATATATGCAGCTAAGCAGTGGCATTGTTGGAAAAAGTCTTGATTTTTTCAAATGCATTTTGCTAAGGATATTAAGCATTTCACTGTTGGGTTCAGGCAGTGTAAATAGCAGCAGCACACAGCTTCTTTTCAGGTTGTGTTTCACATTTTGAGTCTGAGAAAATTTCAGTGAAAGTGTATTATCAGAACAGAACTAAATTGATGCAATACCTGCCAGATTTGCTTTAAAAAGTCCCATAAACAGGAGAGAACAGAGGGGACTGACTTGTCAAAACTGTACACTGTAAAACATGAATATAACCAGAAGATGGCAGTACTACAACATAAAAAAGGAGGGAGAAGTTGCAGTCACTGATTTTATCCTACAAAGTGCTTAATGGCAGGGCTCCCATCTACTTGAATAAAGGCTCATAAGACAACTCGGTCACTCCGGTCATTAGTGGAGTGTCTTCTGGCTGTCCCCACGCTGGATTACTAAAGACAATCCAGACTCTTTTCATGTGTTGCTCCACGATGGTGGGATAACCTGCCAAGTTCTAAAAGAACAGTTGCGTGCGTCCCTGTCTATCGTCAAGAAACTCTTGAAGACCCAGACTCTTTTGCCTCTAACAGAGTCTGACTCGTGATTTCCTCCTGTGTCGCTTATTGTTAGGTTTGGTGTTGACCTTAATGTTGTATCTGTATCTGCAAGTCACTTTTGATAAAAGCTGCGAAATGCATCCACATCATGCAAAAACAGAGTCGCTGAGACTTTCACAGTGGAGCCACAGCTGTACAGTGTTTCAGAAAGATCGGAAGCTGATTTAATTTGCTTCACTGTTTCAGAAGTGAAAGATGCAGCAGGGTGAAAAGTCAGATGACTGACATTTACTTTGAAAATCTATCTAATCTTGAATATCTTTAATATCAAACTCTGCATGTTGGTCTCTTTTACATCCTTTCCAGAATGATTAGACACAAACTGCTGATGGGTAACTGGAAAAATTATTTGGGTTCTGTGCTTATTCCAAACTAAGGTCTTCCCATCACTGCTCTGAGGCCCCTTTCTCAGTGGGTTAACTAGTTGGGGTTGGATGGTGCAAGCTGCGTAGTTCCTGTTACAAGTATCAGACAGTATCTCTAAAGTATCTCTTAAATCATGAATTTGGTTTGAAGTACAACATTTAGCATGACTCACACAGTGACATTTCCCCTCTCACAGATCAGTGTTTTATCATTTCAGGCGATTGATGCGTTCGACCAGGGTGCGGTGTCTCCCCCCCCCCCACCAGAAGAAGAGGTATTAAGCAACAGATGGTTCGCCTCCTGAGATCAGAGAGTCCTGCTGGAGGAACAGCGCTGTCGTGATTAATGAGAGCACGCGCTGAAACAGGGCTGGCACGGCAGGTGATAAATATACGGTTCAGTTATTATGATGCGGCATTGTTTTTCACAATCCCGCAGGTATAGCGCTCATAAATACTGCACATCCACGTACGCATATTCTGGTTATGTCCTTTATTGTTTTCTTGATCTTATTCCTCTGAGATCACATACATTAGTCTGATAAAGATGCTCCTGGTGATTTAAAAAAAGAGATGGCATTTGTCTTAAGCAGAGCCTGAACTCTTTGTTATTGACCTTTTATTTTGTTTCATTTTAGGGTCAAGGCTATCACAGCACTCTGTCCTGTAAGATGTGTCCGTGGTGCAGTAAGTGCAGTGCTGAGATACAGAGCCATCTTCAGTATTTACATCCAATATTAGGGTTATGTTTATCTCTGTGTTTGACAGAGTTTGGAGCTCCATTTGAAGCTATTGTGGAGCTCACTGGGGTGGCTCAGTGTTGAGCCATGAATCCTTATGGCATCGCAAAGTATTGTGCATTGGAGCATACCATGCCTCCAGATGGCAATATTATGCACTGTAGGGCTTATGGTGATAAAAACAATATAGTTTGCAAAGAGGCTTTTAGTAATAGATGCTGTTAGAGTTCAAAACAGACGTAATTGATTGAATGAGAGGATCAATTTTAGCAAACCCAGCTGTTAAGGAAAATACAGTATTGAAATTCCCTTTTCATTTAATTTTGCCACTGATAAAAGTTTAACTTTGAAAAGTTGTGTTTTTCTTAGATACTTAAGTTTTTTCAAGTTTTTTCTTTGAGGGATTCCAAAATGTAGTATTGTTTAGTCTTAGTGGTCAACTTTATAGGTCAATGGGTTTGGCCAATATTAATTTGACTTAATGAAATAACTAAGATTTGTTGCAGCTGTGACAAAAGATGTTTGTATTCTCCAAATGCTCAAGAATTCCAATTATTCAATTTTTGTGCAGTTTAAAGAAGACACACTTGACCACCCTTTATAAAAGAAAATAAATAATCTCATCCCACATTTTCTGGCAGCTGCAGCCTTTACTGTTTTGTTCTAGCTGTAAGTATGTGAATGGGAGGTTTATTTTCTGTCAGTTGAACAAAGAAATATGGCACATACATTCCACAGATGAGCTACAACAATTCAAGTGAAACAATCCCCTGATATCTTAATTGTTTGTGGGGATTAGGTAACAATTTTGATGACCTGTGAGTTTTGGCTGAAGATTACAGCTTTAACAGTTCAGAAGCACATTAAGAAACATGCAGAGGACTAAATGTCACTACCAAGAACTTCCATCCAATTCAAAATGAACTGGTAAAGACGAAACTGGAGTAATGGGTGCCCTTGTGTTGCTTCTGAGTCCAGATCTCAAATTTGACTTTGATTCAGTACTTTTTAAAGAGCATCAGTGATCTTAATTTTCCACAACGAGAAGCAGAGAATGTATTACAGTCATCTGAGCAGTGATCTCCAATTGATGCCTAAACATAAACATGATTCATTTTTTAAACATTTATTTATTTAAAAATGTAACCGGTGGAAAAGCAATTTCACAGAAGATGTTTGGAGTGATGATACCAGACTGGTCAAACACAACTCCCAAGTTTGTTTGAGTTGGTACTTATGAGGTCATCCCATCAAGGGAAATTACTATTAAGATTACATTGAATGAGTGTGATAAATAAACTGAAGGGTAAGCTAAAGGTTGGTGGAAAACAGTTTGCTGGCTTATACAGAGCACATACGTTTACTACTTTAGCTCCTAAGTGATACGGAGAAAAAGTTCTTTGTGTCCCCACAAAGAAACACAAACAACAGTCATGCTGAGGCACAAGTTTAAGCTGCTCGGCATCAGAGGGGCAGAGGAAGAGACTGGTGGGACTGGGAGGAGGTGACCTGTGACCTCTGACCTCCCAGTGGTGTAATAACCTTCGGCCCATGTATAAAGGAAAATGCAAAGAGCTGCAGATGTGACAACAGAGCTCCATTCTGCTGTCCAACAACACACCGCCGTACCGTGTGTGAGCGTGTGTGTGTGTGTTGGCCTCTTCATCATTAGTACAGTTAGCTTTGTCAGATCTGGGACAAAACCGAACAATGGAGCTGAAACACCAACAAGGCATGCAGACTATTGTGTTTATTTGGCCGGTTCCTGTTTTTTTTTCTCCACCAGAAAAAGGTCCAGCAGAGGTCCTGCAAAGTAACGGAACATTTTTAAATCCAGTCGCCATGTGGCAAGAATTTACTGCTGCTGATTCCCAACTACTTCGGTGTGTGGGAATTTGTGTGTTCTCATACAATCAAACACGCCCTCAGTCTCTCCCACGGTCAAAGAAGTAACAGTAGACAGGAAGTAGAGATTGGGCTCTTAATTGGGTATGGCACTCACACACAGACGAACAACATGCCTTGTCTTGCATTTCACATTTGAACTGGCTTGTTCTCTGTAAATGCTAAGCTGATTTAGATAAATGAGATTACCAACCAGTTTGGAGAGATGGTGTATATTCTCAGTTTTTTCCTAAACAGTTGGGTGATTTCCTGTTTTATTTTGAAACACCCAACCTTGGTAACTTGGATTATTTTTGCTTCTAGTTATTATTCTGCTTAAAACCATAGACAGTATACAATGCATGTTTATTTGTTTGTTCTCAAATGGATCTATGAACTTTCTATGCTGTGCTATGCTATGAACTGTTTAACCTTCCAAAAACTATATCATATTGTAAATCTAGCATTTGGAACATATCCCAGCTGACAACGGGCGAGAGGCAGGGGACAACAAGGACAGGTCACTAGTCTATCGCAGTCACACACAGAGACAAACAACCACCCACACCAACGTTCCCTTCTAGGGGGCCATTTGGAGCGTCCAATTAACCCAACATGCATGTTTTTGGACGGTGGAGGAAGCCAGAGTAACATGAGAACCCAGGGAGAACATGCAAACTCCACACAGAAAAGTCCTGGTTCCCCCGGGGACTCAAACCGGGAATCTTCTAGCTGTGAGGCAACGATGCTGACCACCTCACCACCGTGCCGCCCTGTTTCACTTACTTCCTCTTAAATTCCTCTAAATCATATAATAAGAATAGGAAAGTGAATAATAATGTGAGTACACAATAGATAAGGGCTTCTGTCTTCCCTCCACATCCTATGCAATGTTTAGCACTGCTCAGTTTTTAGGAAAATAGTGAAGCAGCTGGTGTGCTTGATGTTATGTTGAGCTCTGAGCATGATAAGAACTTTCGGGACCTTTGAAAACTAATTTAGCTGCAAATTCAGCTGTGATGTTACCACAAGAGATGGTTCATGTTTCCCCGCCTTGATTTTCTAGACATTTTGCCTTTAGACAGGACAGCTGTTTTGCTCCAAACGCACTGTGGATCTGTGTTG